GTCTGTGAGAGCTGCAGCGGAACGCCCGACTGTCACAGAAAGAAACTGTACTCTTTGACATTCACACATTACATTCTATAAGACGGACGGTGCTGCCGCGGATGGAGGGCCGTGACAGAGCCGGCCGGCCGCCATCAAACGGCCACCGCGGAGCCATCTGCTCCCGCAGTTTATGACGCGCGGCGTCCAAGGCTGGAACCGATCGCACAACCTTCCTGCAGAGATAAATAAATATTCTCTTTTTATCGTCTCTAGCCGTCACAAAGCCTCGCCATGGATCTCGCGCGTCTGACGCAAAGTGATGCGAGTCCACTTTGAGGTACTTGTACTTCTCTATTGCTACTTTCCTCTGGTACATTTGAGGAAGAATATATTGAACTTTTACTTCTTTTTGTCCACAGCAGTGCGTTTATTTTCTCCAGTTCTCCCGCTTTTACAAACTCTGTGCTTGTGCTTCAACCACTGCTGCCAAACAGTTGGTGCACCGGCAGAAGCTTTACAAACCCACAAACCTATTAGCACCGCTGAGATTACGAGATGGTTTAAGGACAACTCGCAATCATCAAATGACTCATCATAAGGGAGAAATTCCAGTTCTGACGCTTTGTCCAGTGTTGGAAAAAACACTGTCAAAAATCAGTTGTTTCTAATTACAATTTCTAGCTGTTGCTTTTAACACAGCTCATCTATAAACGTATGATTACAGCTTTAAAGGGGTGAAAGAAAACATTTGACTTTTAAAGTCACCACACTTAATTATTGTAGAGAATCAGCAGGATCTTAATTGCTTCGATGTTACTGTTCGAAGCAATTGCAACATTTTTGTAAAATTGACTTTCAAAAAGTAATTTCTTTACAGCTCTTTAAAGATATTTCAAAAACAAAAGAATACATTTCCTAATCCGTTTAAGCACATTTATTGTGAGCATAAATCCAAGTTCATACATGACTACTTTTACAGCGTGTCCTACTTGCGCATATAACTGTCCATGCAGAACATTGATTAATGAGGCCCCAGGTAAGAAGAGAGAGTAAAGGCGTGTCGAGGGGAGGACGGGGACATAACAAGGGTAAGTAGGTACTCGGTGTGCCCAGTCTAAGAAAATATATTTGTGTCAAAGACTTAATGGTGAGGGACCGTAGAGAGAGGAAAGGAAACGGGAAGGACAGGAGAGAGAGGAAAGGAAACGGGAGGGACCGTAAAGACAGGAAAGGAAACGTGAAGGACAGGAGAGCGAGGAAAGGAAACGGGAAGGACAGGAGAGAGAGGAAAGGAAACGGGAAGGACAGGAGAGAGAGGAAAGGAAACGTGAAGGACAGGAGAGCGAGGAAAGGAAACGTGAAGGACAGGAGAGAGAGGAAAGGAAACGGGAGGGACCGTAGAGAGAGGAAAGGAAACGTGAAGGACAGGAGAGCGAGGAAAGGAAACGGGAAGGACAGGAGAGAGAGGAAAGGAAACGTGAAGGACAGGAGAGCGAGGAAAGGAAACGTGAAGGACAGGAGAGAGAGGAAAGGAAACGGGAGGGACCGTAGAGAGAGGAAAGGAAACGTGAAGGACAGGAGAGCGAGGAAAGGAAACGGGAAGGACCGTTGAGAGAGGAAAGGAAACGGGAAGGACAGGAGAGAGAGGAAAGGAAACGGGAAGGACCGGAGAGAGAGAAGACAGAAAAATGCAGCGTAGCGAGAGAGAAGGTAGACCGTGACGGGAGGGTTGAAGAGCTGTGTTGTGGTGTAGCAATGGAATCTTACTTAATAAAACACAAGTCACTTATTAGTCTAGTGAAGCGGCGACACTGGAGAAGAGTCCCTAGCATTCCTGATGCGCTGCCGTCACGCTGTTTTGATGAGTTAACAAACCTGCTGCGGCCTCATAAGAAGAACTGTTTGAAGATGGTCGTCTTTGTCGTCTTTAAATTGAAACTGGACAAACGAGACTGCAATCCACTGCTTTTCCATTTGGCAGTCAAGGGTTAAATTGTTCTGGATAAAAAAGGTTTTAAAATTGGTGGAGATATAAAAAAAAGGCCCAGAAGCTGCGATCACCTTTGCCTCACCTGCCATTCTTTCCTCATCAATCGGCGCACACATGCAGCTTCCAACGATAACACCGATAACGCAAATTAACTAAAAAAAGTGCGTGGCCATCCATGAAACAGTGGACTCATAGCTCCTCAGCCAATTAACTCCAAGTTGGCCACAAACACAATTATTATTATTATTATTATCACGATAATGAGAACCAGAGAAAAGGCTTCGTATTTGATGGCAAACAAACGAACTCCTAAATGAGCACAATGTGAAGAAGAAAAGCCTTAAGTTCACTTCACAGGTCACCACCTCAGAAGCCCACGTACAAGACTTGGAAGTAAAGGAGCAGCATTGCAACAGATTATGATCCACTGTCAGGTGACAACCTCCGGGTGGGAAAAGTTATGCAAAAGATCAAGTGCCTTTAATTTAATTGCCTTCTTTTTAATGGCCTTCAGGAGGTGAGTCCTCTAAAAGAAGTATAGGAGTCTATGACTTCTTGATTTATTACCGCAGTAAAAATAGTAATCAAGAGTGTGCAGCCTCAATCTCTAGTTCCAAGACTTCTTAGATTGAGTGTGTATTCATTTAGTAAATTATAGCCCAGTTAGAGTCGAATAGACCATAAAGCAGAGTTGGCTTTAGGGCGGGGCCACCTTGTGATTGATAGGTTGCTGCCCCCGTGTTGTGTTTTTGTCTTTCAGCTTTATCATATTGTGTTCACATATGACAGGTGTTGTGCCGTCGATCAGAATCAAATCATGAGAACTGCTTTTTGAAAGTTTTCAGACAAAAACTCAGACCAATTCAACATTTGTGGCAATGACCACATGGCATGAGCCCTCGCTGCTCAGAGAACAGGGGCTAGAGGAGGGGAATTCAGGACTAATGGTTTTATGGAGATACGCAGAGCTGCTGGTGGATGGAGGGGAGATTAGGGGGTAAGAGGGAGCCGGCAGTGTCAGAGGGGGAGCTTCCAGTTACAGCAGCCCATAATTGTTCGTCGTGTCTGGGTCCCCAGCTGGCCGCTGCCTGGTCGGCTCCCGGCAGGACCACAGTGTATCAGAGTAAGATATACAATTTGGAATGTGGGAAAAGGTCACTGTGGAAGAATGCATTTTCAAAACCAATAATGGGGTCACTGTGCACTTTTACTCTGCGTGTGTTTTTCAACCACTGAATGTCTTTGTTTCATCATTTGAATGGAATTAAACATTTGCATCATGCATGCATCGAGTTTAAAATGTTGCTTCATGAGTGCGCGCCCTCATTTCCAGCAGTGAGGAGGTCAAAGGCCAGACTTTGAGGGACCACAATGGCGTTTAAAAGTCAACGCTGCCGCTCGGAAATGTTTAATTCACCAGCCGTGCTCCCTCTGTTCAGACTGGCTGCTGCAGCAGCGACGAGTGAGGGAGGGAAATATATGGAAATACAGTCAAGAATGCAATCAGTTGCTTTAAAAAAAGAAAGAAAATAAAGGTCATTGAACATGGCTACTGACACTAATGGGTCACACAAGACTACTTCTATCATTCCCACTTTATTTTCAAATATCTGTGATTTTGTTTTGAGATTTAAATTGTTTTTATATTATCTAAGTAACACAATTCTCATGGACATAGAAAGAAATATTTACAGCTAGACTCTTAAATCTTGATTACTCAAGCAGTTCAAAATCAGGGTGTGTTCAAAGACTGACGATTACTAAAAGAGGCGCCACTACGAACTAAAGCACCCATCTTTTAAACAAATGTACCCATTCACATGTGAAAGAGTCCAAACTGATGACAATCCTAACATGAGCATTTAGACTGTGAAACAAGTGTGTAAACAGAGAGAAATATAGCGGAAACAAGTGGTTTCAATAACCAGATAAAATCGCTGCACACAATTTTTCATTTTTAGGAGATGAGCAGAATCGGGGCTTTTTTGGAGGACATCACTTCTAAAAGCAGCAGCACAATTCAGTGACATTCTTTTTTTAGTACTTTTTTTTCAAAAGCTTTCTGTTAAGTAATCTAACCTTAAATGCAACCTTTATTTTACTTTAAATGAGAGAGAAAGATTTTATTTATTATTCATTATTTGAACATACAGACGTTAACATAACTAATTCAATATGTATGGGACTGAAGCATTAAACATTACTGGGACTGTTCTCCAAATGGACGCTGAATTTAATTTCCCCTTTCAATCTCATATCTCGCCATCTATTCCTGTCTGATATAAATGCACGGCAGCGAGCCTGCAAATTCTCTCTCTCTCTCTCTCTCTCTCTCTGAGTGGGCGCGCAGGTTGTGAGCTGAGCGGTGGCACTGCTTTATGGCGTCTCCTGTCAGGAAGGTCCCTACGGGGTTCAAGTCCCCGCTACTGAGACACGCGGTGTCTCACAAAAGACAACCTCTCATGGTCCTCAACAGCAGGACGCAGGAGCTCAACCTGGTGTTTAGAGTTGAAGTGGAAGATTGTGTTTTTTCCACCGGTGTCGACGTGAGAGGTTTCAGGTGCGGCAGGGAGACACAGAACATGTCCGGGGGAGGAGGGGAGTGGGGTCCAGCAAGAGGGTGAGAGGAGACAGGAAAGGACAGGTGGGGTCGAGCAGGTGGTTGATGGGGGACAGGTGGGACCGAGCAGGGTGGGCAGGCCAGTGAGAGGGGACCGTCAGGTAGGGCACAGAAGTGATGCGTGTGAGGGGTGAAGGTGGGGCGAGTCATCCGGCTGAGGAGGCGGATCCTGAACGGCGGTGCTGACGGAGGAGAAGATACCGGTGGAGTGGGACTGAGTCCAGATCGACGACCGGCTCGTTTATTAACCCGCAGTGACGTCATGTGTGTGACATTTGTTGTGCGTGTTTATGAGAAGGTTTTTTCTTCCGTGCGTGCGTCTAAGCCTGGAGTCCCCGCAGACTGTGTGGCAGCCCGTCTGTGGTGACAAGCAGCTGGTGAGAGCTTCTGACTGTGTGCGTCTGTTACCTGCTGGGTGCTGTTGGAAGATGGGAGAGGGTTGGAGACCATTGGTCCAAAGATGTCCGGCTCCTCGCTGATTGGTGCAGCCCCCTCTGGAGCATCTGAGAGAGAGAGAAAATAAAAATCACACAACCTTTAGCACATTCAAGGGTATTTGTACAATGTAAGAATTTTGAAATCGGCCACAAAGCTCAATTCTAAATTACCACACTTGATGATTCCAACATATTTTCTCGTGTCATGTACAGAAGACATCCTGGCTCCGTACATTACTTATTGGGAAAATTAAGTCTTTATTTACATTAATTGTGCAGACAAAGAGCAATAGTGAAGCAGCTAGAAGCAGCTAGTCATATATGTGAGGGGTGTGTGTAGTCTGCTGTTCAAGACACACTGTACGGCCATCTGAGAGACGGCAAGACAGAGACAGTGATGGGTAGGTAGACAGGGGGGGGGGTCTGGAGGAGAAGAGTGAGTGTGTGTGTGTGTGTGCGCGTGTTATTTGTGTAGGAGCGAGCCAACAGCAGAGGTCATTTATATAACCATAGTGATGAAACATCCATAATTTAGCCCTTGTAAAGGGCGAACAAGACTGCGCTGCTTTATCAGACAGCAGGGTTGCAGGAGAAGCCACTCACTGGCTGAACGCTAGCGAGGAGCACTCAACTCCTTCTGAACCACTTTGAAAAAGTCATTTTCAAAGAGCTGCTTTGATGACATATACCGCCGTAATAATTGAATGTTTTTGCTCTCCATTCATCTCGTGATGCCTTCAAGGCACATTTGTGATTCGTTGAAAAGGTGCTGGTTGAATAAAAGTGTGCTTGACGTGGCTTTATGCGCTTGGCTTTAATTTCATAGTTGCCACATTGTGAATTGCTGCTTGAAGAATGAAACCCTGTTGCTATTATCACTTTAGGTGCCACAACTCTTACTACATAACCCTTCTCTTACCGAAAGCACATTCACTCATTGCTTGGAAATGAGCTGCAGGGAGAGAAAAGGGCCGATCATCATCATCCTCATCATCATGATCATGATCATGACTGCCGCGTCGGGCAAAGAGCCCACCGTCCTTTTGCTACGGGATGGAGCTGCTTCTTGAGAGAACTCTCAACTTCACCATGGAAACAGATCCGCGTTCCAGGGAGAGTGTGTGTGTGTGTGTGTGTGTGTTTTATAAGAACCCTGAACCCCTTTGCCCCAAGTACCCACACAGGCAGACGCACACATACACACAGCGTCCCAGTGTCTTAAATGAAGACAGCGACCTCATTCAGCAGTGGGAGACGGTCATATTAAGGACTAAAATATCAGACTCAGTTAAGCTGCATTGATTCTAAAGCAATATCCTGATTACATTTCTCACAAACACATTTGAAAGTGTATTTCATCCACCCTGTCGATAAGGGAAATTAACGAGGTCTTTGAAGTGTTGGTACCCAAAAGTATGTTAATTCAACCCACTTTGTTTTCCATTGAAACAAGGCACATCTAGGACATGAAATGAGGGCCCCCGCTTCCAAGCCAGCAGCTCCGCCAGCGAGTTGGTCCACAAGTGTTGACAATGAACATGAAACACTAATGGTAAAATATGTGTTTCCAGGCGATAAGGGAAGTCGGACACCATCCCTAGTTGTGTCCGCGTCAGTTTGTTGAGATTTGACGAGCAAAGAGTGTCGTTTTTTTACTCTCCGGTCCTGCTCATCAACTTTACTCTGTTCTCATAGAGCCAAACTCAATTCATTTCATTCTTCTCATACAACCATTACTTGAATATTAACTGGCTTTATAAGAAACTCCACACGTGCCGAATCACCATTAGTATGCGAGGTGTTCCTATGGAGCAACGTTGTCACGAGTTGTTTGTGTTGTGAACGACACACGATCCTCGAACCTGTTTTCCGCCCGTTCCGCGCCAACAGTTGGTGCCGGCACTGTGTAAAGAAACGCAGCGAAGCGCCAACAAAGACCGCTGGCAGGAGCACGTGGACGTAAACAAGGCTCCAGGAAAATATTTCAAATAATCGGCTCTGCAAATGTCTGCCCACTTAGCGCGTCCAAGCGTTGTTAACGAGCGGCGCGGTTTTAGCGGACCTTGCGCCACGTGTTTGATCATGCATCATGCATTCGGATGAGGTTGGGAATAAGATGTGTGAATGGAAACAGAAAGGCATTTCATTCCTGGTCGCAAAAATACTAATGTTCTTTCACCCGATTAACAAGAGCAACGTAAATATTTGAATCAAAGAGAGCACAGCTGCTGCTTGAACAGAAGAGGCGACATGGAGGAGGAATCCAGTTTACTCTCTCCGGTCGGCTCGTCAGACACATTACAGCAGGGAACGACCAAGGTGGAAGTGAAAGGGACCAACAGTGGTGCTCCATCAATAGAGGTTTATTTAAACCGATTCGGTGGCTGCTGAAGAGATCTGTTCTTGGCGGAATGGAGCATCTCTGAGGCGGCATTTATCACCATGGAAGAGCTAGTAAAGACAAAACTGAAAGAAATGGAAAAAACCCTTAAACGATTTAGTAATTTAATATATAAATATGTATTTATTTATATATATTTACATTAAATAATTTTTAAACCAAACCAAGGAAATAAAAGCAAGGATGGAGGAATGCTTTGTGTAAAAATGCTTATCTGGCTGACAATATTCTTCATGCTTTCATTCCAGCACAGCTTGCTAAACTGAATAGGCTGAACAGTTGACAAATAACACAGACCGTGTATGTGCGTGTTTGTGTGCGTTCTCATGGCTTACTGCAACACATTTGACTTATGGATTATCTTCGAAATCTCCTCCACTTGACGTGGCTGCAAGGTGTGTAGCATCGGTTATTCATAGCAGGGCGTCACTCTCATTCCTCCATGCTGAGGCCGGGAATATTTGATCAATGCCGTATCCACCGGCTATTACTCCTGTCCGCGCAGCTCAACCCCCCCTTCTTCCCTCCTTCCTCGGCCGAGTCTAATACAGCGCAGCTCGTATGCAGAAAATAAGGTTCGAGTCCAGCTTGTGACCTTAGTTGAATGTCATGTCCTTGGTGCATTCTACAGTTCTGCTGTAGTTCTTGAACTGGACACGATTGTTAATCTCCTGCGCACATTTGAATGGCAATCAGTTTTCCATCTGTGTGTCTGCAAAGTTCCCCCCAAACACGTGGGGCTTTTGTCACACTCAAATTTTTGATAGTTGTTAATAAACCGTGGTTATCAGTAAAGATTTAATAGTCTGACAATGGCATAGCCATCGGTGTTCATTGATTAGTGATCAGCGATTGTTTGATTAAATCGTGGAGGTCCGAGACCCTCTGAGGAGGCTGCTTTTGAGACGGCTGGTGCAAACTGTTCCAACAGGTCGTTCTACTTTTGTTCCAAATCTCAAACACAATCCGTTCTTTTCTTTTTTTGAAATATACCTTAAATTACAATTACACAGTCGAGTACATGAGTGGACCATTGTGTGGACTTAACTGTATGCGGCGCACAGTAGTGATTGAAGCCATCAACGATGTATTAACTGCAACGTGGTGTAATAAGTCATCCAAGTGGAGCAAAGGGTCTCTGTACACTCAAATAAAGCCCGACACTAACAAATATTTCACTTCACATGGAATTCAACCTACAATTATTATCTATCAATCTAGAAATGGGATTTAATTGGTTTATTTAAAGCATCTGACACATCGGGTGGTCCTGTGAGTGTGCACTTTGACACGTTATTATATTGTATAATGGCAGGAGGCAGTTCACATCTCACCCAGACCCAGCAGGTCCACGGCCGGCTCCGCGCCCTCCTTGGCCCCGGCTTTGCACTCTGACTGCTGGAGAAGGAGAAAGGGAAATGAGTTTTTTTTATAACAATGGAATAATAAAAGCCATTGGACTCAGTGCTCAAGGAGATTTTCACATTGCAAAGAATACAGATTTATTCAACAAAGGCTTCAACCCGTAAGTGATCAAGGATACTTTTATAAACTAACCATGGGGCTTTTCATTTAGAGACTTGGCTCCTTCTTTGTGCAATATAGCTTTTATATTAGCAGTGTTTCTCCAAACATGACAGAGATCCGAAAGGAAGGTTTCAGTAGGTTCTGGTAATGACGCACCGGGGAAAGAAAAAAACAGAAAAAGAGTGGAGTAAAGGACAAATATTTGCTGGCTGCAGCTATTGGTTGGTGTTAAACTGCCATGTCAATATTATTTCTGATAGGCAATCGTGGTAATGGAATTTTTTTAATTGAAAGTAAACATTAGGGAGCCACAAGGGGAATATGAGGAAAGCAAAAGGGAAGTCGGATAGAGGGGAGAGATTCAAAGTCAAAGAGCATGTGACGGGACGATGGAGTGGGGAGGATGGGGTGAGACTGGAGAAACAAATGTGGAGAGGGAGGGAGGGGGCATTAAAAGGTTAACACGCGGGCCATGAGAGATCTACAACGCCGGTAACAAACCCAATTTCCCCCCAACAAAAGATCGATGGACTACATTAAATTCAATGTCGTTCCAATCTGAGGCAATGAAAACAATTACCGCGTCCACGCCTAATCAAGAATGCATTGGCTGCGAATTGATGCGTGTTGGGACTGCAGCAGAGCTCGCACAGCCGCAGCAGGAGGCTCCTTCTGTGCACCGCGGCGGAGGGCTTGGTTGTCGCTGTGCATCGGCGGAACTGATTAGCATTAGCATTAGCAGAAAACTGATTTTGTGAGATATTGAGGGTTTTGCTGAATGGGTACATCAAGATTCCTTAATGCAATTTAAAGAGTTCATGAATATTACAAAAACTGTATTTAATGTAGTTTAATCAGCACTAGTACAGATATGTATAATCAGGTTGGTGCATCCTTAAGCCGAGAGCTTACCTTAACAACATAACATAATCTTATACATATTTCCAGACCAAGACTAAAGAATACAAAGTGAACACCTCCATTAAGAGTATTGGCAGGGCGAGAGCAGCAAGGATTGGAATATACATCTTTGGCACGCTGGTCCATTTGATTACCAACATTTCAGACTGTGGGCAGCAGGAGAAAATTGGGAATTTCATAGTCTTTTCTCCGCGCTGCAACCCACACGGTGGCAGTGAGACGCGAGGGGAAAAAAGAGAAGGAAATCCAAAATGTCAGTCTGCATGAAAGCTTAATTCCCTCTGTATGCAGGGATTTTGATTGACACACTGCCAATAATGTTCACGAAAACACTGGCAGACGCGTGGGGATTTCCCCCAGCCATCCGGGACGGAGGCTGACGGACGGCGGCGACGGACGTGATTGGGTGTCAGGGGCAGTTGTTCTTGACGACGGACGGAGAAAGTGGAATTTGGAAGGGAGGCCGGCGATCGATAAACCCTCCCACCATCCCCAACAGGTGAGCGCGGCGCAGCAATGGGGGGTGGGGGGGGGGGGAGAGAGATTGAATGGAAGCCACAGGGCCAGCGAGCCTCCGATGACTTCTGTCGCATCAGATCGCTGTCGAAAGCCCCGGGCAGACAAGCGATTAGCTGAAGGCTGCCACACCGGGTGTCCGGGTGGGAGGGGGGGGGGGGGCGGGTCTGCTGTGAGTTTGTTCATGGGGCACTCAATGGGATTTTGATGAAGTCAAGAAAAAAAAAAGGAGAAGTGTGAAATTGATGTTCTGAGTGCCTCGTACAACAGCATTGCCTCGAGGTCAATGTTTTTAATAAAGACGTTTTCGCATCAATGGTTGAAATATTTTCTGTGCTTAACACAAGCTTAAGAGATATTTATAGCCATGAATAAATGTGCCGTAAAATTAAAACATTTCCAGGTGTCTGAGAAGCAGCTGACAAGTGTCTGGATGAGAGGACTGAACGTCGGCACTAGAACGCCACACTCGCGCTTAAAAGATCATGTGATCAAGTGTTGTTGGTTTGTGAATATTATCTTGCTGAATAAAAGAGAAGTATTGTGAATGTTTTGGATGCAGAGCTTGTTTCATCTAATTGATGAAGTCCCATTGGCTTCTTGTTGAGGGAGCCATGCTTTAATAACCTTGTGGTTGACCTACAATTTAATCAAGACTTTATTTTAATGTACATTTTGGATTTGTTGATAGGATATTGTTACTGTGACAAAGGTTTAGTGATAACTGCCAAGAACTTGGCAGCCAACTAAGTTGCAAAACGTCACAACTTTTGTGTGAAATGAGTTGAAACAAAAGTGCCATTTTGTTTGTTTGATATTTGTATCCGGTCAAAGTACTGAGGACAATTGAGTCCCAACATCTCTAGATTAACTCATTTTGAGATATTGTTGTTTCCCTCTTTTTACATTATCTCACGACCAGCATGAACACAAACACCAAGGGACTCTTGAGGCAAACATTCATCAAGATTGAGAGCTCGCTGCCAGAAATGGTAACACTGTATATAAATATTCATTAGGTACATGAAACTGGACTTTGGATCCCTCGGGTACCTGTGTTGTCCTAATTACATCAAAGCATGAGATGATGATATGATAAAAAGGCGAGAAGGCACACTTTGAAAGCAGGCAGCAGCTTGTATTCATGGCGTGTGGCTCATAATAAGTGGAGCCTGCAGTGTGATATCATCATTTTTATTTTCCCCTTTACAGAGCAGCAGCAGAGAGCATCCTGACTGGAAACCTTACAAACTGAGACGGGCGTGCACGGCGAGGGACGCGAGGGCTCCACAGCTGGTGATTAGAACCGGGCCGCCGTCTCTCAAGCACGACATGGCCGACACGAGGCGCCTGCAAAGAGCCCAAAGGGCATAAGGACAGTGAAGCGCGCAGCCGCAAGCCGTTCACCTCGCTGCCGTCGGGAACAGACGCACAGGACCTCCGAACAGCTTCCTCAAGCTGAGTGACTCCTCAAAATCATCCTCCACGCGCCACATAAGACGTGGTTTTTTTTGCGGGAAATGTTTTTGTGTGAAGTACAGTGGGACTACAAGCTGCATTTTGTTGTGCAACCATGTTCTACAATGACAAAAAAAACACTTTGAAATAAAACTAAACAAAAAAACGCGGGTACTTTGTGTTCAAGAGCCCCGCCTCCTGCATCAGACTGTTAAGTGTCAATTTGAGACATGTGGGTGTGTTTGATGGATGCCTCCAGAACAATAGCGCTACAGTACCAACAAATATTTAAATATACAGGTTGAGGCATCGTGGACTCGTTCCATTCATCCGCGCCTCTCGCTAGGCCGGTGTACACCTGCTGCCCACAGCTTCAGTCCAAAAATATTTGTATCTCCTTTCAAACCAACATCAATCGCTAGAACTCTGGGGAGCACTGCAGCACCGACTACCAGCGCACAAGTGATGAAACACGGAATTCACACACACACACACACCTGCAGCCTCTTACAGAGACGCTCTGTGACCCACTGAGACTGTACTCAGTCTCGCAGAACCCCTCCGTCCTCCTCCCGCGTGCCCTCAGGACCTGCGAGATGAAACGAGCGTCTTATCCTCCGAGGGGAGGCAGCGCGAAGTCGACGGAACAAACAAAGAGCGAGGAACTCTAATGGAGGCAGAGGAAGAAACGGAGTGGAAGGGGACGGGCGGGAGACCAGGGCTGCAAATTGGTTTGCGGCGAAAGCGAGAGTAGGCGGGGACACAGAGGACAGGAAATAGGGGAGGAACGGGGGAGAATAACCGAGGGGACGACGGAGGCAGACGCTAGCGAGACAGCAGGAGCTGCCGGTCGTGAAGTGGACTTGTGTTTGCGTGGAGGGGAACCAGAGAGTCGGGGGTCAAAAGTGACCGTCTCATGAGCGCACTGCAGAGCGGTGTCTATTAGCCAGTGTGGCACAAAAACACACACGATTAAAAACACAAAGACATCATACACAAAATGGTTTGTTTGCTGTTATTTTAATGCTCTTAATAAAATTACCTTCAACAAAACCTGACTGAATATAGTTAAAAATAATAATAAAATGGACAGGCTCATGAAAGACCCACCAGGGCAGGAGGGCATTATGTACCTTTTAGCTGCCAAGACACTTTGATTGTGTGCAGGAAGAGTTGGACTGACGGCAGCTTAAAGCTGAACAAAAAATAAAAGTGAAGAAGACGTGATAAGAACGATTAAGTGAATGAGAAACTAACTACTAACTCGACTCGAGGTCCGATTACTAGTCGGGACTTGTGTCGTGTTGTCACTGTTCATCCCATCACTCGTACTTTTCACTCCGCTGTGCGCCACTTCTTTCACAGATCGTTCACAGATAAAAGCTTGGCGGCGGCAACGCGCATAAAGCCCCTTTTGTGCTTAATATACAGAATTTCTGTTCAAAAGAGACATCAACAGCGACAAAAGGCTATAAACGGAACACTGAGTGCAGAGTTTGCCCCGGGTGCCATCACGGGAGTTCTGACTTTTATTTGACATTGGCAGGTGTGGCAGGTGTTGCAGCTGCGGCGTCGACAGACGGAGCCGAGAGGCTGGTGGGCGCAGCGATCGCCGGCGCTGTACTACATGCAGCAGGAGAAGGAAGTGGATTGTCTCCTCGTGGCTGACAGCTGCCTTATTAATGCTATAAAAGAGAATAATAAAACTGCCACCGGCTGGGTGAGCCGACGCTGTGGAAGACAGGGGGGGTTTGAGGATGAGGAGGGGGGAAGAGGGAGGACGACGGGTCAACCTGCATTGGGGGAGATGCCGGGGACCAGCAAGGGGATTAGGAAGAGAGGAAGGTGAGGAGCAAAGAGAGCGAGATGATGAGGCGGGGCGGACACAAGGAGAGGAGGACAAATGGAAGGACGGACAGGAAAGAGCGATGGAACGAAACGGACGGTGCAGCGTGTTGATGATGCATTATTAA